CCCCCCCCACACACATACATACATACATACACACGTGCATTTCACCCTCAATAATAATGATATTCTCGTACACTTCACAATAATGGAGTAACTCGTATTGATGACAGTGTGAATTGATCTGTATACTTGCTGGCTCTTGCTTTTTAAAAATAAAACGTTTACGTCTCACAGATGTATGATATTCCAAATTTAATGGGTGTTTAGTGTCGGCAATGATCTTCTTTGCTTCTTACACAACATTGTTATTGTAACACTCAGGGAAAGAGAAGTGTGAAGTATAAATAACTTTTGCTGCTTTCTCAACTTTCTGTATAACTCTGTCCGAACGTAACTGCTGTATTTTTAGAAATGTTACCGACATAACATGCAATTCATAAAGTGATAAGGCTATCTAAATATTGCATTGTAGAAATTATTCTTTGCATTTCTGTCTTTTTCGAATAGGGGCGGAGCGTCAATAATTACTTCTTCCCTTCCGTAATTTGGGAACATCGTGGCCGTCAAACACACCCATAAACGTAGACCGTGCAAATTTAAATAACTGTAATTTGAACCCTGTGTACAACGCTCAAACTGTTTCATTGCAACATGAATACCCTTTTCACCTCTTTCGGCCTACCCTAATAAGCAGTCACAAGCACTGCCTATGAAAGCTCACAATTGGATTGGTAGAGACCACTTAAAAAAGGTGAGGAGGGCTAACTCCTCATACAATATGTACTCTCGTGGGTGGCTGTGAGTTCTTATTTTGTTGTTTTTTTCCTCGACTTTTTAAACCGCTAAAATAAGGCCACTCCTATTGTTTCCTGACAACGAGAATCTGGACAAAGAAAGCCAAATTTGAAGCCAAATTGCTAAAACATAGTTCGTAGTAGGCTTATTGTCGTCTAGTATGCTTCTTTGCCTTCTGTTTGTGTTTTTACATCCTTTGCCAAGTTGACTGTTGGAAAATTTTGAGATTATTATTACATCCATATGTTTGAAAGTTATAATTAGGTTTTGCACAAAGTGGGAATGCAATTATTTAATGAGATATTTTCTCTATTATTTTGGCGGGTGAACATACAATATAAATCCAGGATTTGTTTTCATTCACAACTCAGTGATGCCGCCTCGGATAAGATTTGCTATGTTCCTATGGTCGGAAAACTTTTCGTGATTGGTATCATTTCTACCAGATACTTTCTCTCACTTTGAATACCCTTTCAAATAAGTCAGCCTTCGCCCCTGATTTCGAATGACTTTGTATAGCCTCTAAATAGCCTGAAAAAATACGGTCTACATGTTCGTTTCAGTTCGTTCCAGTTCTTTCTTTCCAGTTCGTTCCAGGACAGCTCGTTGATTACTCGGAATTTTATCTTACCTACCCATCTCCCGAGCACCGCCAAACTCAAATACAAGTATTTACTTGCATGTACACAACGATTTACTTTCAAGGACACATACAGGCATTTTTAAAATTCATATTATATAATTGTTCTCTTAACCAAAAGTTTAAAGTTTTCGCTACTTATCTTATTCAACTTGTGACCTTTATTAAGTTTTTTTGTTCAAGATGAATGCTTTCTTACAGGTACCGTCAACTCTTCTTTCACCTGGGTCCAGAACAGTATGTCACGTAAGCAAATTTCTTTCACGCAATTTTTTTTCCAATGTACAGTGAACAAATAAGCGCTCCGAGCTGTGTTTGCAGTACGTATTTTGACCACCGGCCGTTAGTCATGCGGCCACAGCCATAGCGGAAGTGTGCTTTGTGGACAGCGAGCTGCTCTGTTTGAAATGTGGAAACAGAAAGCAACGGTGCTAACTCTTGGGAATCCAGACTTTAACAAAAAGGCACGGGGTTTTTCTCATGTACCAGCAAGTAATCCGATATCTCGCTGAGGCTTGCGTCACCGCGCTGGAAAATGTCTGCGTGAGGTCATGGGTCACGTTCGATTTCATGAGATTATAGAGGTACGAGAGGAAAATATTATAGGTCCTTCTGATCTGCTAATCATTTTGAATGAAGCTGCCAATAGGCCCGTGAAAAGACATACAAATAAAGACCCCAAAAGACAGAAAAACACAGAGAGAGAGAGAGAAAGAGAGAGAGAGAGAGAGAGAGAGAGAGAGAGAGAAAGAGAGAGAGAGAGAGAGAGAGACAAGGAGAGAGAGGGGGGGTTGGGGAGGGATATATATATATATATATATATATATATATATATATATAGAGAGAGAGAGAGAGAGAGAGAGAGTGGAGGGAGGGGAGGGGGAGGTTAACTTGAAGGGTATCTGTGGGCAGAGACGACGAAAAGTAAGCTTATACTTATAGTTTTATACACCAACACACGTGGTAGACGTTAAAACTGCATCTATTATTACATACACAAACGGCTTGAGTTAGTTAAAATTACATTTGGGGACCACAAGTGCAATATTTTTTATGAGGCAAGCGATTTCAGACGGACATATTATAGGTTAGTGCTGGGCGGTACTGGCGAAATCGAGTCCTGGTATTTTACTGTTACTGGGTGTAGAGTACCGGTACGGGGTCTGAGAATAGATGACGTCAGAAGCTCTGCACGTTTAGTGTTTCGGTATATTTTTTGCGATATGTTACAATGATATAGAAGAGCTTTGTGGTGTTTATGAGGGAAAGCTGTCGATGCTTAGACAGACAAAAACTCACAGGCGATTGATTCTTACTCTTGCGCAAAAAGACACTCCAAAGTGCATGCGTCTCTCAAGGTAACCGAGAGGACAAAAACTTACGACTTTTCTTGCAAAATTCTGTTGCATATGAAATGATCTATCCTTATGCAATTCTTTAATCATTCTCTCTGGATTCAGTCTGCTAGCTTCTTTGTTGGGCGCATGCTTGAGATTATATGATAGAGCCCAGATTTCTTGTTTTCAAGCTTAA